TATACAAGAATACCGTACATCTAGTAAACACTCGAGTATTCAAGAACCTTCGAGAATATCATGACGTGTTACTAGCGTCACGTGACTTCCGCTGTCGTAACAATATAAATGTAATCCAAACCGAGTATGTTTTGTTCCCGGGACATTTCGTGTAAAAGGCTAATATAGACTTAGTGCAAGCGGACGTCAGTAAATGATAACCGATAAGTTCTTAGTTTTGTGGGCTATCCACTCATTAAACTTTTAAATAAATGTTATTTTCTTCTACTTCTGTAGAATTATACACAGACTATTCTCTTCGTTAAAATACTTTTCGTACTAGTATTGCTTAGTACGTTGTTGCCCGATGAGGGCTCCGGTAAGCCTAAAGCTTGCACATGAAAGTATTTTAACGTAGAGTTTGTTTGTAGTTGAAGCACAAAGCTACACAATGGGCTATCTGTGCTCTGCCCACTACGGGTATCGAAACCCGGTTTCTAGCGTTGTAAGTCCTCAGACATACCACTGTGCCACTGGGGGGCACCTTTGTCGGTTCCAAACTTGATTATGCTATTCGTTGTGCACTACACTTCTGCCAAAGTGTGTCAGTTCCTAGCTTGATAATGATATTCGTTGTGCACTATACTTCAGCCAAAGTGTGTCAGTTCCTAACTTGATAGTAATATTTGTAGGGCACTACACTTCTGCCAAAGTGTGTGTCAGTTCCTAACTTGATATTGATATTCGTTGTGTACTATACTTCTGCCAAAGTGTGTCAGTTCCTAACTTGATAATGATATTCGTTGTGCGCTATACTTCTGCCAAAGTGTGTCAGTTCCTAACTTGATATTGATATTCGTTGTTCACTATACTTCTGCCAAAGTGTGTCAGTTCCTAACTTAATGAAAACATTCGTTGTGCAATACACTTCTGCCAAACTTTGGCAGTTACTAACTTGATGATGGTATTTGTTGTGCATAAGATGTTTTGCCAAAGAATCAAAGCTTATGCAGGAAATGTGATATATATAACTTATCTCCCCCGGTGAATTAGCAGTAAGTCTGTGGGCGTATAACGCTAACATTCGAAGTTAAATACTTGCAATAAGCAGAGCACAGTTTACCCATTGTGTATATTTCCTGTTAACAACAAAGAAACATCGGTTCTATATGCCGCGTAATATAACTCGCAGGGTAACATAAAACTACAAGAAAACAAAACTAGATAAACAAGTTTTCACCGAACATGCTCCCCTTTCAGCCATGGGGATGTTGTAAAGTAACGGTCAATCCCTTATTCGTTGGTAAAAATAAACAAGTTGTTCAGGCTGTGAAAATAGAGTAGTATTATGTTGACTGAAGCTCAAAATTGAACAATAGTCCGTCTACGCTAGGCCAACCGCAGGGATCGAACCACAACTTACAGCGTTATAAAACATCTAGTTTCCTGCTCATCCACCGAGGGAGGCTGGGAGAAGGGCAATTAAAATAAACTTGGAATGAACAGAAGTATGAATAATGTACTTATATGCAGCTATTAAAATTCCACAGTGGAAAAGCTTACAATCAAAGTGTTAATTTAGTACACTTTGCGAAAAATGTAGGCGTGATCTAATCGCTATATAATACCGTTTAGTTTGAACTCTCTTGAAACAATACAGAATTTAAATTAATTAAAAACAAGTCCAATTTAAGAGCTGTTATATTCGCAATCACTTTCAATTCTAAAAGTGACCTTTGACTAGTTTCAACATTCACGTCAAACAATAGAATAGCTTCTTAGTAAAAAGGAAAAATATGTACGAATGTTATCAGCATCTTTATAACACTTCACTAGTCAAGTGTCTCAAACACTTGTGAATCGTAATACGAGAAGCAATTGTTAACTGAAAAGATCTCGATTTAAACTGAACAATTTTCTCTCTGTTTGCCCGAATTGGTCTTCTTGCAATATGTTTTCACCCTTTATTATAAAGTGCAATTCTGTTGTATTAACTCAGGCTAAAACAACTTTTCAACGTTATTCTGATAACAAAAAAGTCTATGGATTCAGTTTAGAATTTAGAATAGCTAATACTTCAATTTGAAATGACAGAATAAATAAAGCTACTTTACTAAGACTACCCACGAATTGGTGATATACATATTTAAATTTAGTTGTTGTTCAAAATGACACCCTAAGGATCTGTTTACCAGCTGAAATTTTAAAGATAAAAACAGCTAAATGCGAGTGGATATGAAATCTGCTTAGCATTACCAGATGAGGTTTAACTGTTGTAGTACCATCAAACACTACCAGGTGACCTGTATATAGTAATATACTATACCTGGTAGTGTTTGGACCTGTATATAGTGATATACTATCAAACACTACCAGGTGTCCTGTATATAGTACAGTACTATCAAACACTACCAGGTGTCCTGTATATAGTACAGTACTATCAAACACTACCAGGTGTCCTGTATATATTACAGTACCATAACACTGTACTATATACAGGTCACCTGGTAGTGTTTGATAGTATTGTACTATATACAGGTCACCTGGTAGTGTTTGATGGTACTACAACAATTAAACCTCACCTGGTAGTGTTTGATAATATCAAACACTACCAGGTGAGGTTTAATTGTTGTACAGTACCATCAAACACTACCAGGTGACCCGTATATAGTACAATACTATCAAACACTACCAGGTGACCTGTATATAGTACAGTACCATCAAACACTACCAGGTGACCTGTATATAGTACAGTACCATCAAACACTACCAGGTGACCTGTATATAGTACAGTACTATCAAACACTACCAGGTGACCTGTATATAGTACAGTACCATC